AAACCGTTTGTATTTTTATTAGAAGGTCATGACATTTTGACAGTTTTTTATTACATACGATTGATAATCTTTTAGTTTACTAGCTTTTACTTACCAAAAATAATAAACAGAAGATCAAATAAAGGAATGAATTAAAACAAAAAATTAACGACAAAAATTTGATTCGGATAAAAATATTAATTTATAATATAAATTTGTTATTAAATTGAATTTGGAAATGCAATAAAATATTTATTTCGTTGTCTTCATCACTGGTGAACGGAAACATGCGGTTTCTTTTGGTCTCGATATGTTCAGAACCAAGAAAATCTTTATCAATTTTTTGAAATTTCTCCTTGTAATGTTAGATTTGTTAGGCATCTCTAATTAAGAGTTCTACACGTCCTGTCCAAAAGTTTATTACATTCACCATCAATACAAAATAAATTTCAAATATCACTTACACCCGTCGTCATATGTAACTAATGACAACAATAATACAAACATGGACAAAAAACTGTAAAAATTTCATAGCTTTCTAATAAAAAAACCTACATTTCGTGCATGTTTTAATAAATTTCCCAATATGAGGCAAAGTACAATAAATAGGTATAGGAATGTTGATAGATAATTTATAGAGAATTAAATTCCCTTTCTGATAAGCTAAAAAAACATGAGGTGTTCCATTTAAAATTTGCGAATTTCTCGCCATTGAATATGGAGACACAGTAATTCAATTTTTGACCATTCTGTATAAGATACTCCGATACAACAAATGACAATCTATTTGACAGCATCTGAAGAGTAATGGTGCCAATGTAGATCTTTTTTGAATGAACGTTGGCTGACATATGGGGTTTTAAAGAGCATGTTGAAATTTACCAAAAAAAAGCTTAAAACCAAAATACCTCGAAAACGAATAACTTTTATCAAAGTCAACCTATTATTTTACGTACAATTAAACGGTGTAATAAAAACTATAGCATTCCATCTAAAATAACGAAGTTATGGTTTACTTACGGTAGACCGGAAGTGGCGGCCATCTTGAAAATATTTTAGATCCAAACTTCCGAATGAACAACCCATGCTACCAAAGTTTCAAATCTCTACGAATAGTGGAACCTGAAAAAGTTCTAACGAACCAGTTACGTGAGACAGCCTGTATATCATGAAGGTATCGCTAATAAAGGCCCTAATGAAGTTACTTCATTTTTATGGAACTACACTCAGCGGCATAAAAAACGCATCACCTAAAATCATGACCAGTTTTAAACTGTAATAACTTTTGAACGTATTCCTCGATTTGAATAAGGTTTTTTTTTATTTGGAAGGTCTACCTGCTAGATTTTATATTATATTGGTTAATTTATATTAGATTTGATAGATTTATATTATATTAGTTCGTTCATATTAGATTTATTTGTATCGCCTCATTTGTTTAGTCTGGATTTGAAGTGTCTCGAGTCGCAAGATTAGGGTTTTTTATCGTATTATTTATTGGGTTGAGTTAGGCGTGGGAATGCGTTGGGGTGTATATTTCGGTGTTTAGGTAAGGGTTTTTAGTTATAACCTTAAATAAAGAAGGAGCCTGCGAGCTCAACTCATAGCAGTTATTCATTCAGTCTTCGATTTAACACCCACCGAAACAGTACCCCTTCAATTCACGCGGAGCAAGGCTCCCTATATAACTCTCGCCACAACTAATCGCAATTTATATGTATTAAGTTTAAGTGTAATTAATAATAAAGTTTATGGAAACGTAAAACCAAGATTTTGTTGTTAACCAGCGCCCACCAGATAAAAATAAATAATTACTACCCTTTGCCAATATTTCTGTAGGCGCTTTCCCCATTTTGGCGCTCTTTAATTTCAGCAATGGTGAATAAGTTAATGCGTGCTTTCTTCCTACACTTTGAAACTAGCTGTGGGGTGCACCGACCAAAGAAAATAATGTTAATCATAAGAGGCTTGTAGTCTCGTTTGTTCTGATCATCTGTTTTTTTGTTCAAGTTTCTATTGTTGTTAACACCAAAGTTACAAGCTCTAAAAGATAACGCAGCTTGTTCGGCAGCGCTATCAGAAATTAAAGAAATTGACGAAAACATTTCAGTGACGTTTAGTGTCGTTAACGTCGTACACTGTTGCTTAACAAGAAAAATGCCTTTAAGTCTTGCAGAAGTTGCTCAGGCAGTGGCTTTGGTGGAAGATGGACGTGTTATGTTGCTCGTGTTCTTGGCGCGATACAGGGTACGGTTTCTCGCGCCATTCAAAGATTTCGGCAAACTGGCACCTTTATCAGACAACCTGGATCAGGAAGAAGACGCACCACACAACCCTGTTATGATCGATATATTGTAACGACCATGTTACGAAATCGACATACCACAGCAGTTGAGATAAGAAATCGTTTGGAGCAAGTGCGTCGGGTGAACGTGAGTGAACGCACAGTAAGAAGGAGATTTGAAGAAGCGAGGTTGAGATCACAGACGCCAGCAACTGGACCACAATTGCTTCGAAAACATTACGAGATCATGTTCAGTGGACCAATGCAGAGTGGCGAAACGTACCGTTCTCAAATGAGTCGAGAATCGAATGGCCTGCACATGTGGGATATGCTAGGGAAACGAGTTAGCGAGAGCCCGTGGTGCCGTTATTTTGTTTGATTTACTTGTCACAGTTTAATAAAATTAAATTTCATCCATGATGAAATATATTTATCCATGATTTGCTTTAATTTCTGATGGCGCTGCCGAACAAGCTGCGTTATCTTTTAGAGCTTGTAACTTTGGTGTCAACAATAGAAACTTGAACAAAAAACAGAAGTGAATAGAACAGACGAGACTACAATGATTTAAACTATTTTCTTTTGTCGGTGCACCCCATAGCAAGGTTCAAAGTGTATGAAAGAAAACACGCATTAGCGTTATTCACCATTGCTAAAATTGAAGAACCCCAAAATGAGGAAGGTACCTACAGAAATATTGGCAAAGGGTAGATCTTTCAAATAAAAGAAACCTTATTCAAATCGAGCAATACGTTCAAAAGTTATTGCAGTTTGAAACTGGTCATCATTTTAGGTGATGCGTTTTTTATGCCACTGAGTGTATATCAAAAAAAATACCTGACAGTGTCAAAGAATTACACCTGTACAGTGATAACTGCCCGGGGCAAAACAAGAACCATACACTGCTACGTATGTGTATAGCTTTGGTTGAGATCAACAGATTTCAAAAAATAGAACATTTTTTCCCCATAACAGGTCCCTCTTTTCTCCCGAACGATCGCAGGATAGAATATATACTCTCCATACTTACACAGAAATTATTGCTTCATGTGATAATCAGAAATTTATGATAAACGAAATTGTTTCCAAAGACATACTTCATTTCAAAAACTGGTGCCCTAAGTATTACAAAAAAACTACAAATTCTCTTGAAAGCATGAAACCCGGAGTAGTTCGAGATAACAAAAAACCATTTACAATATTCCACTTTCATTATTTTTTTCATGAACATAAAACTCCGGGATATGTTGTAGTTTCAGATTGTATAAATGTGTTAACATCCCACACATTTCACCTACTCATGCCAAAAAAATCTAGAACTTTGATCAAAATGTCCACAATTAATGCTTATGTTGATAAAGTTCCAATTTTGATTTCCAAATTGGAACATCTTACGAAAATGTTTCCTTATATTGAAGAACCATACTTGAATTTTTATCAAGATATTAAAATGTTGACCTAAAGCGAGACCAGGAGAAAATGCAACAGAATAAAAAATAAGTTTGTTTTGGTTAATATTTTCATTTTCTAATCAAAATTTTTTAAATATATTCTCGTAAATATTCATATTGCTTTAAAAATAATATTCCTCTTGTATATCGTTTTCCATGCCCATGTGAGAATACAAGGAAAAACGACAGTGTTATTATTAAATTTGGAGCCTAACATTTTTGCAGTTTCTAAACTAAATTTACTATTAAAAAATGCAAAAATAAATGTAGAGTTATGATAGAATAAAAAAGTTCTAAGCAAACAAATTTTAGGAACAGCCTTTATAGAATTGTTCCCGCGGACCGACCAACTCAAAAATTGCCTAATTATTTTACATGCTGTTAGTTTACACTGTACCAAATTTCAACGCTTTACCATAATGGGGTCATACACACTTATTAAATTTAGAGAAAATTTTTATGTCACACGATATATGCAAGTATATGTATGAACACAAAGTAAAAGAAATATTTTGATCAATTTTATATTTTGCGTAATTTGAAGTGAAAAATAGCAAATATTCAAACGAAATAATTTCGCGGCTTTTCTGTGACGTAGGAACCGCACTGCCTAAAACAAGTTAAATTGTCCGTTAGATAGCGCTTGCGGTGTGACAGTGTCAAAATAAAACCATGGATGTAATACAGTGTCTCTATTACATCCATGAACAAAACATAATAAACATAACCTACAAACACTCTATCTCTTTTCAATACAACCTAAATGACGTTCATCTCTTTCTCGCATTTGAGCGGGGAGCAGGGGACGCAAAAGTGAGAATCGTACGTCATCAACGCGGGAATTTTAAAAGCTCAAATGGGTATATACATTTTCAATAATTTTTTTAACAATGACTTTGTTCGAAAATATTTAAAAAAAAAATAACGGTAACTATATTTTTATATAAACTTTCAGAAAATATAATAAAAAAAAAATCGTGTATGACCCCATAGTGTTTAAGATATTTAGAAAAATGTGTTAAAATTTCCTAACTTTGATGGAATGTATCTTTGCAATTTGAGGACTTTTACTAATGTTTTTTACATGAATCGTCATCATTTTAACTCTAGTATGTTTCCAAGTACATTTGTTCGCCAAATCACCTGTATATGCAATTTGTAATAAAAAATGTCGTGAACACTCTTTAATTTGGAAAATATATCTTTTTTTCGTTTTTCTCAGAAAAATAAAAATTTTACTTAGTCCCTTTCTGAAGTAAACAATCAATTAAGATAGTTTGAAATACCTAGTTCTCATGTGAGATTGTAACTCGGTTATTAATCGCCGATGTTTTGATCTAGCAGAATTCTTTCCAAGCCAGCCTGGAAAGTTAATTTGGCCACCAAAATGACCCTCGAGGTAATGACCAGGTAAAACACTTGAAAAGATCGCTTGGATTGATAATAACGACCAATTATTACCACTTCTTATTTTTTTATCGATGATATCACCCATGCTTATTGAATCGGCGGTCTTAGCAAAATTTTCCAAAAATTTTCCCCTAAAATTGTTCGTTTTATGTTAAAGTATGAAAGAATCTTTAATTATAAAAATCGACTTACTTTGGACAATGAGGTACAACGTGTAAATAATTTTCATGTACAAATAATGGCCCAATGCTGTAATCATAAAAAAATAACCTTGATTTATCAGATAAACTCATCGTTTTATGATCTTCTTCTGAAAATACTTTTCTTATAACCTCCCATGGCCCCAAAACGAGATCTTTTTTAGCCGTTTTAGCGCTATTTTCTGCTTTATCTGATTTATTATTCGTTGTCCACATAAATAAATTATTCAATGTTTGGCGAATATCCATTTCCGTTGCTGTTATTATTTCTGTTATAGTTTGAGGAGTAATTTTTATATTTTCTTTAAAGCAAATACTCATCATGGCGCCCTAAACAATAAATATTAATTACAAATATTGAAAAGAAATAGTTGGTTTTACCCTAATTTGTTCCAACCGTGGTTTAGTAAATCGTAAATCAAAACAATACATCACTAATGAACGAATTTTCGGATGATTCCTATCGTTGCACATACAGATTATAGGTATGTTTGTATTTTTTATTAAACTTATTAACTCTTGTATACCACCACGATCTTCATTTCCTGCCATTCCATCAACTTCGTCCATTAAAAGAACGTGTTTTTTTGTTGGAGCTAAACCATCTTAATCATAATAAAAAAAATTAATATAAATTAATAAAAAAATATTTGTAGAGTTACTTTTAAAATATCCTGCAAGTGATGTAGTAGACAGTAATTGTGATACTTCTTCGTGTAATAACTTTTTACTTCTTGTATCAGAAGCATTAAATTCAACAATATCATATCCTAATTCTTTACAAACTAATGTAGCTGTAGTTGTTTTTCCTAAAAACAAGAATTATTATGGTTAACCCTTTCACTGCTCTAAACAAACATATCAGCAAATATTTTCAGTGACTCTAAGGCTAAGTGTATATTAATACTTTAAACGTATTGTTACGCATAGCAAATTTACTACTTGTTTGCAAAAGTTAAACATATCCGCATGTTTGTATGCATTATTATGTAGCTTAGGTAGCTAACCAACCAATCAGCCTCCAGCGCTCACTCATCTAACAGTGGTGTGATCAAGAAAGAACACTGATTGTTTAGAAGTGAGGTGTTTCTATGTCAAAACAATATTACACCGACGACGAAATTTACAAAATTTTGATAGAAAGAGGCGATTTTGATGGTGTAAAAGTAAAGAATTTTTACAAACGGCGATAGTTAGTGACGAAGACTACCATGACGATGATATTGATAAACTCACTACTTCTGCAACTCCACTTTGGTATTGTCAACTTTTAGGCATAGAACTGCGAACGTGAACAATAAGGGAAAAACGAGGAAAGTAAAATGGAACACAAAGAGGATGAAGCGAGAGAATGTTGGAGAGTCCTTCCAGCAACAACTGGAGGCCGTACTAAGAGAGAGAGATCATACTCGGAAAAAATTCAAGAAGAATGGGATGTGATAGGAGGAGCTATCTCGAAAGTAGCAAACGAATGCATTGGCACAAGAACGTGTTGCAGAAATGTGGAATGGTACGATGAAGACTGTAAGAGAGAAATGAAACGCGGATGAGGATGATACAGCGTAAAACAAGGACGAACAGAGAGGAGTATAGGGAGACGGTTCACAAATAGAAAAGTGAGGGACTTCTACCGGATAATTAAGATGGAAACAACAGGGTTTCCAAAAGTTGCCAACAGTGCAAGAAGTGCAGCAAGCTAAACCAAGGATGAAAAACAACAAGGCCCAAGGAAAAGATAACATCACTGCTCAGCTCCTAAAAATTAATGGAAAAGCAACAAAAAGAAGAACTGATAATAACCTGCTGGGAGAAAAAAAGGATAAAAATGAAAGATAGAAATAATTATACCACTGCATAAGAAAGGAGACAAAAACGTGTATGATAAATACAGACGCATAACCCTCTTCAACATAGAGTACAAAGTATTATCAAACATAATACACGAATGAGTAAAAACGTACACGGAAACAATACTAGGAGAATATCAGTGTGGCTTCAGAAAAAATAGGATTACAATAGACCACATTTTCCTAGTTAGGCACACCTAAGAGAAATGCTGTGACCATAGGGTACATGTATACAGGCCTTTGACAGCCTTGACAGAAATAAATTTGAGAGGGAGTGGTAATTGGTGGGAATACCCGGCAAACTTGAGAATGGTGATGGCGATAGCTAGAATGAACAACTCAGTAGCAAAAGTATTGAGATACGATGCCAAATCTGAATTGTTCAAAATAAAATTGGGAGTGACCTCGACAAAGGAGTGGATTCAATAAGAGCAAATTCAAAAACAGCTGTGGCGCAGTAGCTGGAATAGCGAGAGCCAAAGGAAAGCCTACAAAGCGATGGAAAGATCATAAATCATTTTTCCAGCGAACAGTAGAACCTGAAGAAGATGGAATCCCTACACCCCTCTGTGAGGCGTGAGGCGGAGGGCAAAGGCTCGAGACCAAAATCCACCTTAAGTTGTAGTACCAAAGGACAAGGAAACTACTTCTGCAAATAACGTCAATAATTCAATAGCAGAAACGACGCCAAACCTCATAATTTTATTAAAATTTATTTAGGGTGTCTACATGAAATTTTCTGCTTTTTTCCTTGCACTATTAATTTTTCCAGGTTATCAACAGGGGCTCAACATATACTAGAATTCGTCACCGGCAAATAGTCGAGCTCATTCAGTATAGATATGTTAGTAGCGAGGTAATAGCGTTTTGTCCAAAATTCATCAGAGTTGATTTAGTTGATTCTTTCTTGATTGTAACTGCACATTGAAAAGCCAGATTTTTACCATTATACCACGAGTTTACCCGCTGGCTTTTGGAGAGTGGCATTTTTTGCTCTGTAGTTTGAAAGAGATTTTTGCGACTAAAGAATTATGGTCACTTCCACAGTCCAAGCCGAGGTAGGTCTTTACGTCAGCTTTTCCATTTACTACTGATAAGAACGTAGCCAATTTGATTGCGTGTATGTTCATCAGGCGATCTCCGATAATGTTAATGAAAAAGCAACAGAAAACTTGCTTGTGTCTCATTATCTTCATCATTGGTATCTATTTCTCAGGTATTTTCTTCACTAATCATAAGCTGTGATTTATCCATAGTAGATTGTAAACAGACGAAAATGTCTACCTAACAATGTGTACTTTCTATACAAAACAAAAGCCCAAAAATCTTTAGATGTCTCTGCAAAGCACAAGTTACTACAGAGGAAGAGAAAAAAAGTGTAAACCATACCATACAGCATTAACTGATCATGGATAACCGAATATAGTAGGTTCATTAATATAGGAAACTTGGAAGTACTTAAAATGGAAATTTTAGTGACTTAAAATGGAAAATACCATCACAATTCATTAAATCATATGATGCTTGCAATGATGCAATCGACATCCTGACCTACTTCCCTTGCTAATAACTCAAAACACCTGATGCTTCGCATAATACATCTCACAATTTCATTACGACGATATGACACAGTGGTCCATAATGATTGAGGAATAAAGTTAAACCAATTTATACAAGAAATAATAATTTAAAAATCAACATCATCCTGTATAACATGCAATACCACCCTGTATGTCTAAGATGAGCAATATATTATTAAGACATATTTGGGCAAATCTCATTATTTTCATTCCTAGACTCTACTAACTGCTTAACCCTTTGTTGCCTGACGGTACTCAAAAGTACCACATTATTTAAACAAATAATATTTGGACACCAAGCTTAAAAATATCGTTTGGCCTGACGGTACAGAAAAGTACATTATTATTTGCCTGTAAAAAGATGATTTCGTAACTGAGTCGTTGTATTGGTAAACACAAAAATCGGTGCACGTGGTAACGTTCGATATATTGGAAACATTTGTATTGTGATTTTTGCGAATTTCAACAAAAGGTAAATAACTTTTGATATTTGATTTATAACAACAAATATTTTACGTGTATAGTAGATGGTTCTTCCTAAAAATAAGCAAGAATTTATGAATTTATTTCGTATCATTGTTTTCAGGTTGTAACTCTTTTTACCTCGATAAAAATGTCTTGATGGAAAAATAAGGCTCTTACAGATGAACGCGCGTATACAGGTGTTTTTTAAACATGCGGTAAAAATTCAAGAGATTATTCTTTGGACTATTCTAATTAAGAATATCTTGCCCTTTAACGATTATTGGAAAACCGCTTTGTTTCAAAGATATAGGGCAAAACAAAATTTTCAGAACCATTTTTGCTACTTTTAAAGTACTAAAGTAGTTACATTTTTTAAAGGAATTTATTCCCTTTCTGATAGGCTAAAAAAATTTTAAAGAATTATAATTGAAATCCATTCTACCAGTTGTCAATTTTGAAGTATGTAAATAATTTAATTTGATTTTGTACTTTTAAACTGGTTTTTATTGTATATAGAGTTTAAGTCTAACTGGTTTCAGCCCTTGGCCATCTTCAGAGACTATTTCTTTTGTTAAAAAAGATCACATATCAAAGTTGAAAATTAGATTATTAGTTACTAAATTTACAAAATTAAGAACGTACTTAAATTAATACACTTCGTTTTTAATTTTATTTTACACCTTTTTTGAACTTTAAGTTTTTAAATTTAGTAACTAATAATCTGATTTTCAATTTTGATATGTGATCTTTTTTAACAAAAGAAAAAGAAATAGTCCAAAACTAGTTAGACTTAAATTCTATATCAAATAAAAACCAGTTTCATTTTCATTTAAAATTTTTTACTTTCTCGCCATTGAATATGGAGAAACAGTAATACAATTTCTGCACACCTATTTGACAGCATCTAAAGAGTAATCGTGCCAATTTAGACCTTTTTGGAATGAACGTTGGCTGAGATATGGGGTTTTAAAGAGCGTGGTGAAATTTGCCAAAAAAAGCTTAAAACCAAAATAACTCGAAAACGAAAGCCGCTAGGTACCAATAACTTTTATCAAAGTCGTAATATTTTTTATCTACGACTGCTTGGATAAGTCATCATTACCGCACTAATTTGAGGTGATTTGAGTTACGTAATGAAGTTCATTACCGCACTGGTTTCATTACGTAACGAATTTTTAGCCTATTTGGCAACATAGTAGAACAATATTTTGACATTAAGATTTTCGATTACTGTCGGTCGTAGAATATAGCTACGTGTAGATTATCCGCCAATTTCTGAACACCTGTATACAGGGTAATTCAAATTGGACCTCCACCATTGGGATCTCAGCAACCATAAGAGATACAGAAATGGTTAAATGGGGGCAAAGTTGCGTAGCTTACTCATCATTTTTCAACAAACTTTTTGGATCTAGCCGTTTTAGTTTTTAAAATATGACCAAAAAACAAAAAAATTACTTTTTCGTTTTTTGCTTATAACTTCTTTATTTTTCGTTTTTTCGTGAATCTGAAAAAACGTTCTTAAGGCAAGTTTTTATGAAAAATGTCATGACACAACTAGAAATTTCCTCTCTCTAAAACGTGAAATTCTACGTGCACCATTAGATTCTACGTGAAAAAGTCTATTAGAACCCGTTTTTACTTTTTTACTAAGTTTCCAGATAACCGAGATACAGGGGCTGTCTGAAAATCGAAAATTTGGTTTGCGGCATTATAAGTTTCACAAAAAAGTACCTCAGGTTCGCGAAAACTGCAACTTTCTATCTTCTATAATAACTGAGATACCCTGCAAACCCATCGAAATTTGGACACCTGTACAATTAAGAGGATAACCTATTAGCGAAAATAACGAATACCATTTTATTCAGCCATCGTTTAAAATTTTTGTATGTTTCTTACATCAAAATTTCTATTTTTTTATATAGTTTTTAGTGATGCATTTAGTTTATTCAAAAAATGTCGCGTAACGTTTCTAAAATCACGTTTTAAAACATTTTTAAAAACGGAATGCATCACCAGGTAGTGAAATGTAAAGTAAATCGTATTTAAAGAGTTCAATTTTTTTATTAAATGCATCAAATTTAAATAAAATGGGTTTAAAACGTCTAGTCGGTTTTGATTGCTTTCGGAGTATAAATACGGCAACATCGCAAATATTGCTCCGTCCCAAACATTGCCCGAGACATAGTGGAGCTCGGTATTCTCGGTAACCGAGACGTCAGGGTAGTGTCTCCCAAGAAAAACAAACCTGAAGCGATTAATATTTTCGGATAGATCAAAAAATTTTTATATCACTAATTTAAATTTAAACATTTAATTTACGTAGAATGCAAAACAATGTTTAAGTGTGGCAATAAATTTTTAATAATGAGAATATTTGCACAATTATCTGATCATTTACTATTAGATTAATTATTAAAATAAATACAAAATAAAAATGTAAAGAATATCACCAAAGGTATATTTTAAAATAAATAATACAACATAAATAAAAAAAAAATATATTAACTCATAAAAAACTAAAAATTTTCTTAATAATCAATTTTTGCATTTTTTCAAAAATTTTCTGATATAAGGTTACTAAAATTTGGAGAAAAACAATCTCTATCAAATGAACCTAACAAAAGGGTACATTGCCATTTAAAACAATTCAAGTGTTATTCGTTGCTCATTTGTTTTCTGAAATATAAACAATTGAATGCTGTCCTATTATGGCAAATAAAATATTAAACAACTTTTGTATAAAATGTTTTTTTATAAAGTCAACATTTACCGAGATATACAGGTGTATCTGAATGACGTGCCCAAACTTTAGGGGGTGATTCTTTAGGCAATTTTAAGGGTACTTTGATGTATGAACCATGGGAGACTTCGGCTCCCCTAAGGAGCTACACCCCTCCAAAAATGGCGAAAAAATCTTAGTAGGTTTTGCAATCTTTGTCAGAATTATTTTTGACGTTTAAATGTCAGTGGTTTTCGTACGATTATTATTGTTTTATTTAAAATTTTGAAACGTAGAGTGAACGAGCGTAAATGCGATAGAACTTTATTTAAAAATCAATTTGAAAAAAAAATTTTTTAATTTTAAAACGTCAAAAATAGTTCTGACAAAGATTGCAAAGCCTACTAAGATTTTTTGATTAAAAATTCATTCCAACCTTGATCGACAACCCCGTTGTATAACGGGGAGTGTTTGCTTTATCATTTTTTTTCTCACAAATTAGTCGTTTTTGGAAAAATTTTAGAGACACAAAAAAGTTTTAGGATACTTTCATCTACCTATGTAAAATTTTTCTAATGTATTCATCATCTGCATAAAAAAATGTTTGCAAAAATGTAAAGGGGGTGGTTTGTGCAATTGAAATGCTCGACAATCAGTACCAGAATATCAAGAAAGATTTCCACAGCGTCATTTGCCATATTATTCAGTTTTTAGCGATTCTTTCAGAAGACTTTGAGAAACAGGTAATCCTATTCGACCGCATGTAGTTAATGTAGAGGACGAAGAAGCTGTAATTAATGCTGTCATCGATAATCCTTATATCAGCACTCGAAGAATAGCACACAACATACATGTAAGTAAAAATTTTGCATGGCGCGTATTGAACCGCCAAGTCCTTCATCCGTATCGTAAACAGAACGTCCAAGCTCTACAGCCAGGAGATAATCAGCAACGGTTAGCATTTTGTGAATGGTTATTGCAGTAACATGCTCAAAATAATGACTTCATTTAAAATGTTCTCTGGACAGATGAATCATGTTTTACACGAGATGGTATAGATAATTACCATAATGAACATACGTGAGCATTACAAAATCCGCATGCGATTAGACTAAGAAAATTTCAACAACGTTTCAGCATCAACGTTTGGGGTGGAATATTTAACAACAATTTACTAGGTTTGCATGTACTTGATGGACGTTTGTTTTTGAACAATACACTTTTTGATTTACTTGAAGATATACCTCTTAATGTAATTCAAAATATGTGGTACCAGCACAATGGTGCCCACCTCATCGCGAAAGAGTAGTTGTCGAATGGTTAAATCAATATTTTCCAAACAAGTGGATTGGTAATAATGGTCCATTTGCTTGGCCACTTAGATCCCCAGATTTTAATCCATTGGATTTCTACTTATGGGGTTATATGAAACAAATTGTGTATCAAGTGGAAATTAACACACGAGAACAGTTATTAAACAGAATACAAATGGCTGCTACTGAAACAAGAAATCAACCAGACATTTTAATTCGGCTGAAGAACTCTTTAATTCGTCATTGTGAAGCATGTATTCCTCCTTCAGAAGGAGGCTATTTTGAGCAATATTTGTAATATTTATGTGTTTTAAAAAATGTAGCAGTTAATTATGATATAGAAATTAAAACTTTAAAGTGTTATAATTTCGTAAATAATTAAAATAGGACATATGTTCATTAACATTTTTTTTTGTAATTGGATTAGCTATCATATGACAAAGTTTGATGCGAGGTTTGATGAGCTACTAAATCACCCTGTATAAATCAATAAATGGCTAAGGTATAGATTACCTTCAATAATTTCAGTGATTTGTCATATACAGATAAAATTTGGTATACTGTACAATTTTATAATGAGGAATCTGATAAGATCGACATCCACAAACATCCCTTTTCGAGAAAATATATAATTTTAAGTAACAATCGATAATAATGAAATACTAGTAATAACAGCTATGTTCCAAAAAACGGCCCCGACTCGTATTCAAATGCATTCAACTAAGAATAAAATCAACGTCGCTGGTTGTCGGGGAATTACCCGACAATCGGACAGTCCTAGTCGCCATCGGCCTGGCGCGCCAGCTCGATCGAGTACACATGGAGCGGTGTTGCCACATTAGGCATGTTCACGAGCGAATCTCGTTTCGAATTTTTCGCCAGCTAAGTAGGCCTCTTAAAATGTGTAATAAAAACTATAGCATTCCATTTAAAATAACGAAGTTACTAATCAATGAACAACCTATGTTACCAAAATTTTAAACCTCTACAAATAGTGGAACCTGAAAAAGTTTTAACAAACCAGTTACGTGAGACAGCCCATATAAAAAAAATGATTTTGGTTTTTCAAAAATTATCAAAGGATAAAATATTTTTAAAATAGTCCAAAGAATAAACCTTTGAATTTATTATTAAAAAATTCATTAGTAGTGAAAGGGTTAACTTGATTACTAAGAAGAAAATATAACTTCTTATTTTAACTCCTAAATTTTGTCAAATAAGAAGTGTTAAAGCAATTACTTACCCACTCCTGGTGGTCCACTTAACAGTGCACATTTAAAATAACTACCATCTTGTTGTGAAAAGGAAGGAGTCGGTCTATCTACTTTAATCTTACGTTTTCCAACCCCATGATATTTATCCCAATTTTGAAGCCAACTTAATAACTTTTTCATGTTACTTTTATCACCTTGTTGTCCAATAATTCCTTTAATATTACTTGGTTTATATTTCTCAGTCCAAGCTTTAGTTTCATCATCAATTATGGAACTTTCTATTTTCATTTCTTTAGCAGATTCTTTTATTTCCTGCACTATCTTTTTATTTTCAGGTAATTTATTTTCTTTTTTAATTTCTTTAGGAATAACATCATTCTTTTTCTCAACAATTTCTTTTTTAATTTCTTTAGGAACAACATTCTTTTTCTCAACAATTTCTTTTTTAACTTTTAAATCATCATTATTTTCTTTTTTCACTTTTATCACCTCTTTTATTTCAGGTGATTTCTTTTTAATGTCGCCAATAACTTCAGGTTCATCATCTTTATCTGCATTTATTTCCTCTTTCACAGCATATTTAGGTTTCATACCTGATTTAACAAGTATCAAATCTAAAAATTCGTTTTCATTTAAAAATGGAATATTGTAATTTCTAGCTTTTTCTGTTTTAGATGGACCAGCTTGGTCCCCGACGACTAAATAATTCACTTTTTCTTTAAAAAATAAAACAAAGAATTATTAAAAGTAAATACATATATAAATTGATTTATACTTGAGATGCTATTTACTGTTCGACCACCATGTTTTTCCACTAAACTTGTAAACTCACTCTCTGCTAAGGAATCTAATACACCAGTTCTTACAAAACAAAGATTTTTTAAACAGTTTGCGGTTCCCTAAAAAATTTAAATTATATCAAATTCATTTTAATTAAATTATATGTTACATTTGGATATTCCTTTTCTCCGTGATGAATTGGACCACTTCGATTTAAATATTTCTGATATAAGATAGCGGAATAACGTTTTCTTTCATGTCTTTCCTGATCCGGATCAATTCCTGTATCCTCATCTTCTTCTTTAGATTTCTTTCGTTTTTTATTTGGTGTCTTCTTTTTCTTTGAGTCTTTTTCCAAAGCTTCTTCAATGGTTTTATCAAGAATATCAGCATTTTCAATTAACAAATCTTCATCAAGTTCAAGTAAAGTTTTTTCAAAATCAGGATCATTATGTATTTCCGTTTCTGTGAGTTTAGAATCAGATTTTGACTTTTCTTTACTATTAACCTTCTCTACTTTTGTTTGTTTAACCGGAGTGCTACCAAACACATCAGCTGCATTTACTTTAGAAGGTGTTTTAGGTTTTTGTTTGCGTTTTTTAGATAAATCTTCATCCGAATCTGAGCTAAGGGTCACTTTTTGTCGCTTAATTGGTTTTTTATCTCTGTTAGATGGCTTATCAGGGGTTGCATCGACGACATCATCATCACTTGAATCAACAATTAGGGGCCGCTTCTTTTTTTGCTTAGCTTCAGGTTTATATGATGTGCTCGTAGTTGGTTTAAAATATGATCTTATATCCTAATGTAGTAAAAACAAACGCATGAAATATTTTAATTGTAAATAATTTATGTTGCTTACCATTTTATAGATTAAATTGAAACGATAAAATTGTTTATCAAAAAAAAGCTACAATCATTTTAGAGGTTAAAAATATTTATAATTGCAACGCAATTTGTGATTGAGAGTTTAAATGAAAGGAAGTTTGATTATTATAAGTATTAATACAACGTGCTATAACAAAATCAAACAATATTTATCACTTTATTAACATTTAAACTAGTGAAGGAATGACTTGAACGATTTTAAGGTTAGATTTCTCAACGACTAGGAATAACCGAAACCGATACATAATTTGAAATTTGGCGCTAAATTTAAGTTTTTAATCAAAATTCAATCAATTTTTGTCTGTGTATTTTTAATTTATTAATTAATTAATTCCATTTGATAAATAATAAGATTTTTTGTAAAAAAAATATAAAATTGGAACTGTCATGTCAATTCACGTAATGCATATTTTTGACATTTAAATTCAGTCAGTGTTTTTCTTACTATTATTATTGTTTTTCAAATTAATTTTTCAATAAAGTTCTATCATATTAACGCTCGTTCACTCGATGCACTCGACGTTTAAAAATTTTAAATAAAACAATAGTAATAGTAAGAAAAACATTGACATTTAAACGTCAAAAATATTTATGACAAAGATTGCAAAGCTGTCGTGACACCAGCCAGTTTTTTCTACATAAATGTCAGTGTTTTTCTTACTATTATTATTGTTTTTCAAATTAATTTTTGAATAAAGGAAGTTCTATGACATTAACGCTCGTTCACTCGACATTTCAAAATTTTAAATAAAACAATAATAATAGTAAGAAAATCTCTGACATTTAAACGTCAAAAATACTTCTGAAAAAAATTACCAGCCCTACTTACAAGAGATGTATCAGACTGTCCCTCACCGATTTTGTTGAAATTTGGTACAGCGATAGTATGGCCAAAAATAAGGTTTACGTATTTTTTTATACGTGCTAATAAAGCCCCTGGGGCGAGTTATTACGGTTGGAAATCGGGGCGATATATACAGGGTGATTCACATAAGAACCGACACAGCCCTGCTCTGTGTACATGTAGAGGACAATAAATTAAGATAATTTAACGCAACTTATCTCTATACTAAGTTGTACCCCTAAAGAGTTATAGGCCTTCAAAGTTGGGTCTTAAATTTTTAAAACATTGAATATCTTCGTAATACATTAAGCTAGAAAAACCAAATTTGGTATACGTTATGAGTGTACCAAGAGTATTAATTGTTCGTTAAGGTTCGACCTATCTAACCCCATATTTTTGTAATCAGAAAAAAATAACGAATTTAATAAGCGAATAATCAGTGGTTGTTTCCATTAAAAAAAACGAAAATTGTCATATCTCAAAATCTGAAACCGACAAATTTTTTTGACTCGGTCATCAAATTCTCTGTAAAAAAGTGTCCATATAATGTCTTAGTTATAATACTCTACCTATAATAATAACCAAGATAATTATTGCACTTGCTGGTTTTACGATATTTTCAATTTTGGCCTTTAGGGGAAAAACAAATGACGATAGCGCTTTGAGGTTTTTGGTATTAGCAGTTTCTCGAAAAACGAGATCATGACATGTAAGCTACTTTTTTTTTAACTCTTATAGTTTCCCAGATAGCCTATTCGAACATCGAATTTGAACCATCCTGTACATTAACAGTATCAAAGAACCCTTAAGGTGCGTCCAAACATTGCGCGGCAAGACGCGGCGTTTGTCGGACACAATTCTGCCGCGCGCCTGTTTGGACGTATCAAAGAACGTATGCATGAATTCGTTCATTCATATTTCGTCCCATAAGTCTTCACGTTTAAGTTTATTGTAGTAATCTTTTTCTTGTGGATCCCACAACATCTTCTACGATCCATATATCCCAATTAAACGAATCGACGTTTCGTTATCCACCTTTTTGTATACGACAACACGTCCACACACGATTACCCACGAATGTTTACTGCTAATGTTCGCTAGCAACAGCTGGAACACGATATGCCGCGCAATGTCTGGACACACCTATAGACTATACATTTTAGGACTCAACGGTTCGAAGGCATTTAAGTACGACGAATGGACTCCCGAACTCACCTTTTTGTATAAATGGCCCTGCCCGCTCCATTTCACTTCTTAGATGGCGGTTATCCCAGCCTTGTACTTTGCTAGAGCATCTAGTGTTTGAAGAGCTCTAGTGCAATTCAGACGAATTCCCCACGTTTAATGAGCGTAGTTGAACTCATTGTTTTTCAAACACTATTCCTTCCTCGTCACTTAGGTCCATTCCTTGGACTCTGTTCGGCGGTTTCTACTTTGATTTTCCTAACTATCCATTTTTATGGAGCGGGTTGTCGGTCCACTCCCAAGATCGTTTTCGGAGGGTTATTTCTGCATTTCTTATTAGTCTACACCTTGCTCCTCACTGGGATTGGTTTCCAGTCTTCTGCAAGGTTGCTCAGGATTACAGGGTGGAGATCCAAGTTGGAGGTCAGAATCAAATGGGTTGAAGAGACTGAAGGTGCCTTTAGTGCGAGGGAGATTTGGAGATTTCGTGAAACGGAAATTCGTCTGATTGGTTGATGACGATCACGTGACGCCAGTACGTTCGGGGTAAATTACCGTTTTTCCAAATATCCGAAAATTGGTTGAAGTTTATGTTTTGGAAGTGAAATGTATTTTGCGCACGCGTAATAATCTGCTAAAAATTTGGCGGGATACCGCCGCAGTCACTTCTGGTTGTTCTGTGACATAACTTGTGTGTTTGTCATATTTAATATGATCCTAAATTGTCTGAAAAAAATCTGAAACGTTCCTATCCCGTACTATGCTACAAATAATTGTTAGTTTAAGTCATGTGATGACCGGATCGCCGTATCACCAAATACCCTGCGCAGTAAATAGGTTTCGTGACAGTGTCACTCTCCCTCCTTCAAATCTCCCAATACCTACATACCCAAATCTCCTTCGCACTAAAGGTGCCTTAAGGAGAGGCTTTGAAGCTTCCTTCAAGAATTAGGTACTATCTAACTAGAAACTTCCGACCTACAGCGTTTCGGAATCATTGTCTTGCAGTTAACTCTGTCAGAATCAGATACTCGACCTTTAGAACTTATGAAAATAATTAAACGTATATTTATGCTTTTATTGATATATTAAGTTTTACACTCTGCCTGACGCGTTTCGGCGATCTACGCCATCTTCGGAGGTTTTCGTCCTTTTTGGTTATGCTATGTAGTACATAAAAATATCGGTTTCTTTTTTATGTGGTAAAGTTAAGATGCTTCTTACAGGGATTATTTTCAAACATTAACATTTAATGGGCTGGATTACTACTTGTTTTTCTCGAGGGCGAACAAATTGCAGAAAATGGCGTGCTAGGTGTTCGTATTCAGTCTTGCGCAACAGTCTGAATACGAAGATGGCGTAGATCGCCGAAACGCGTCAGGTAGAGTGTAAAACTTAATATATCAGTAAAAGCATAAATATACGTTTAAAATTTTCATATACATATATTGATAACAAGGATCCACATCATGAACTTTAGAACTTAGTTTATTCCCCATAGAAATTTGAATGATGTTACAGTAGGAAAGATCTTAATAGGTCTTATTGGTTGATATTTTAATAATGCAGGTCAATAAACTAGACAAAATAATTTCTTATGTATATTTTGTTATAAATATATATACTTCAACTAATCTACATAAAATATAAATTACCGACTTCAATTTGTATAAAGAGACCAAAAAAAAAAGAAAAGTATTGAATCAACCTCATTTAAACACGCCTTGATATGGAGGCACCAATTAAAAAAAAATTAATTAAAAAGAAACATGGAACAACATGAAATGAATCACTTTACTTGCAATTCATCCATAAACCCCACCAACAAAAAAAAAACAGTTAAATTGAAGTAATTAACCCGTATCTCAGTCATCATCAGGTAAATCCTCATCAGTTGTGTAATCCGATTCGTGAGGATTATCTTCAGCCTGACTCTCTTCGTCCGATTCTTCCGGTTCAACAACTTGTTTTGGTGATTCTTTCACGTCCAACTTTATATCTTTTTGTTGATCAAAACCTATGTAAGAATCTGAACGTAAACAAACTGTAAAGGTATAAGTTCCTTTCCATATAGGAGCTGTAAACTATTAAAAAAATAGATGTTAAAAAAATTTATTTAGTACATTTTTAATACCTTTAGTTGACATTCTTCCCGATCGACTAAACTTGTTACATGATAAGGTGATGTCAATAATGTCTTTGATTTACGATCACAAACGTACGTCCACCAATATTCTTGTTTATCTTGAGGATAATATGGGCAGTGAACTGCGTGAGAAATTTTTGAACGACCTTCAAGAACTTTTTCACGTTTGTGAAGTTTTTCTTGGAATTTTTCCCACTCCTACGAAAAATTGTTTTAAGTATTCAAAATTTGATTGAAAAAAAAAAATTTACTTGATCATCATCTTCAACGCTTGAACTTTTAACTTCTTCCTCAGAAGATCGATCATTATTATCACCTGTAGCGTCTGAATCCGAATTAGAATCATCGTCTTCTTCTTTTTTCTCTTCTTTAACCAGTTTCGTTTTCGTTGGAGCAACAGGCGATTCTTCCGGTTTGGAATGTTTACCAACTGGTTTTTGTTGCTGCTTAGTTTTTTTATTACCCTTTTTATTAGTAGCTTTTTTTTGTCTTTGCCACGCGGGTCGTTTCACCATCAGAACTTCCGGCTCAATATCCCCGTTTTCTTTAGGTTGTTCTACTTCCGGCTCATTCACTATATTTTTATCTTCGACGGTTTCGTCTCCAAATAAACTACTCATATCTCGTCGAATTAGCGTAACAGTTACTGTTACAATCGCCCCGGTTGTTACTTCAGTAGGATTTTCATCATCAATAACCTCACATTTTACTTGAAAATCAATATAAGGCATCCGACCTAAAACTTTCATAACGTTTTCGTATTCTTCTTCAGAAAGGCTTCGTAAAATACTACGACGATCTTCGCCTTTTAACTGAGCAAACTGTTGAAGTGATTTAATTTGGCGTTTCTTTGACATGAAATGTTTTAGGTTGTCTTCTGTTATGTGGGGTAATTGTAAAAACGGGGATTTAAATTCCCAGAGGGCTTGCACAATCATTGGGCAAAGTTTCATACAATTTTCTATTGAATCGATTGAAGGTAAATGTTGTACTAAAAATAAGATTAAATTAGATGGGGTAATATTACGAGACAAAATATACCTCTTCTTGCATACGCCAAAACAATAATTTGACTAACACAATTAACTTGTTCTTGTATTAAATAAGGACATTTAGCTACAATGTATCTCCGATCTTTATCTAAAGTGTTTGGATTTAATGGAATTCTAGATAAATGCGCGTGAAGTAATGCTCTAGCTTTAATACTGTAGAGGAAACAAAGCGGTCTCTCTTTATTTTTTTCGTTTAAATTTGTAATTTTTTTAATTAATTGGGGCACCTCTTCATTATCTGTTTGTCTCTCAACCACCTCCGAGTTACTTCTCTTATCGAATTCAAAGCTAGCAGCCAGGATCATCAAAACTCGTTTCAACATAACCGTTTGATTTTTATGGAAGAAATAATAATACATTTGAGTTGTGTCAAGTAAAACTTGATCTCCAGAAAACTTAATACTTCGATACCACCAAGTTCCAACCTACAATTTAACAATTGAAACATTTATCCCAATAAATAAAATTATATAAGTACTAAGGCTTTCACGGCCAGTGTTAATTAAATTAAAACTAGAAGTAGCACTATCACTAGAACTAACACTCGATCTAGAACTAGAAACTTTCGGGTTAAGCTTTGCGTCTTTTGAAAAAGTATTTGACATTTCGGATGTCATGTTGTAACCTTCTTGAGAAACAAGTTCCAACTTGTTTCTAGTAGTCTAGTTTTACTCTTGCACTGTTACTATGTAGAACTAACACTATACCTAGAACTAGAATCATTTGCGTTTAACCGCACGTCTTTAAAGACGGCTAAACCCGAATGATTCTAGTCATATCTAGTTCTATATAGTAACCGTGCAAGAGTAAAACTAGAACCAGCACTATACCTAGAACTAGAATCATTCGGGTTTAGCCGTCTTTAGAGACGTGCGGATACCTAGAACTAGAATCATGTGGGTTTAACCGCACGTCTTTAAAGACGGCTAAACCCGAATGATTCTAGTTCTAGGTATAGTGTTGGTTCTAGTTTTACTCTTGCACTGTTACTAGAAGTAATATTATACCTAGATCTAGAAACATTTGGGTTTAGCCATACGTCTCTTAAGACGGCTGAATGATTCTAGTTCTAGGTATAGTGTTAGTTCTAGATTTACTCTTGTACTGTTACTATGTAAAACTAACATTAGACGCAGAACTAGAATCATTAGGGTTTAGCCGCACGTCTCTAAAGAGCCACAATTTCAAAGCTGGGTTACTCGCGAACCACTCATTCGTGGTGTTAACTCGAATCAAATGGTAGCCCAATCTTTTCTGAACAGTTTGCTTTTTTATTCACTCTATTATCTCTATTACTAACGAAAACAAACAAGCATAACAAATCTAAGGTGGAGCGCTAGGTAGCGTATGAGAGTTGTTTCGAATAGTAAATTGACAGTTGTTAAAGATGCCGTTGTCAGTAACTGATGTTGCCCGTATTGTTACTTTAATTGAGGATGGCAAAAGTCAGTGGTACGTTGCCTATACGTTGGGTATACCACGAACAACAGTTCAGGATACCTGGAACCGATATGTGGAAACAGGAAATTTTACTAGGCGGGAAAGTTCCGGTAGAAGATGAGTGACAACAGCAGTTGATGACCGATTTATTGTTCTAAACACTCTGAGATATCGTAGAACGACAGTTGTAGAAACTCGGCATCGTCTTCAAATGGTGCATGGGGTTGATGTAAGTGAAAGAACCATTCGTCGAAGACTTGCTGAAAGTGATCTGACTGCAAGAAGACCTGCCAAAACACAGCGCCTACTCCAGAGACATCGGCGAGCACGTCTTCAATTTGGGTGCGTACATACGAATTGGGGAATGGAATAATGGGGTAAGGTGCTCTTCACTGATGACGTTCACCTGATGGTCGAGAATGAGTGTGGAGACGTCGTAATGAAAGCTTTGCGACCTGCACAATTTCGGAAAGAGTACCTTTCCATGCAGTTTCCATCTTTGTTGAAAATGGCACGCTAAATGCCCACCGTTATATCCGAGATATTCTGCAAGAAGCTGTCGTGTCCTACTCCCATTTTATTGTTGATAGTAGACAAAACCACTACTCATCCGTAAAAAGGACTTTCCTCCATTGCTCGGTTTCCCAATTGACATGTAAGAGCGCAGATTGAAGACGGGCTCGTCGATATCTTGGAAGCAGCCTCGGTCCTTCTTGCAAGTTTTCAGCAAATGGTTCTCTCACTGACACCAACATCATGCACCATTTGAAGACGACGCCGAGCTTCTATAGCTGTCGTTCTACGATTGCTTAGAACAATAAAACGGTCATCAGCTGCTATTGTCACTCATCTTGTTTACACAGGCGATCGCTTTAAAATACTGCATCTTCGTTAGTAACAGAGATAATAGAGTGAATAAAAAAAGAAAATGCTCAGAAAAGATTGGGCTACTGTTTGATTCCAGGTAATACCCTCTACTGTAGCAGCTGCACTCCACAGGGTGTTACAAAATTCGAGAAAAAACGTTTTTCTCATTTTTCTCACCCCGTATATGTTCAAATTAAAATCTGAATGAAAATTCTATCGCAGGATTATTACAAAAGAATCAACTTTTCCATTAAAAAAAGAATCATTAAAATCGAATGCGCGGTTCGCGAAAAAGCCAGCTTTGAAATTGTGGCTAATTTATAGTGGCCGGTTTTTTTTTGCCGGTCAGTTTATATAAAACTAACACTATACTCAGAACTAGAATCATTTGGGTTTAGCCGCACGTCTTTAAAGACGGTTAAAGCCGCATGATTCTAGTTCTAGGTATAGTTTTGGTTCTAGTTTTACTCTTGCACTGTTACTATGTAGAACTAACACTATACCTAGAACTAGAATCATATGGGTTTAACCGCACGTCTTTAAAGACTGCTAAACCCGAATGATTCTAGTTCTAGGTATAGTATTAGTTCTAGTTTTACACTTGCACTGTCTCTAGAAGTAATGTTATACCTAGATCTAGAAGCGTTTGAGTTAGGAGATAAGTAGTACAAAATAGACCTCTTGACCTCTAAAGTTTTTTTTAATAATTAACTTTATTTATTTAGAATTAGTTTCGACATACTAAGATGTCATCATCAGCCAAATCTACAAAACAATACAATAATTACAATGACCTTAAAAATAATAAAACCGCATAAATAGCTTAACTTAAGAGAATACATCTCGAGAGAGGCATATTAAAGAAACAACGCCAAAAACACTTCAGTTAATCGATTCTCTCTGTACAAGACTCGCTTACCTACACCGTGAACTCAGTCTACACTTGCACTTTTTTGAAGTGGAAGAAATTATAGTCAAAACTAAGGAGGAAGCCTACTACTAAAAAACGAAAATTACACCTTTTAAGAACGAGAAGAATTCATAATCAAAATTCTATCAAAAATGCCTACCCTAAGATATACGAACCAAAGGCTATTCAGACTGGGGAAACAAGAATAATGACAATTTAGCTAATGCAACCAAACATAACAAACTTAAATACACTACCAATCTTACGAAGATACAGTTCAATAACGATGAAATCGACATAGTTAACAAAGACAACCAGACATCCATTTAACAGCCATAGAGATTGATTATGTCGCGACAACATAAAAAATGACATCACTATTCTGAAAAATTATGAACAAACATGCTACAATAATGGGAGACCACTTAATCAGAAAAATAATATTAAAAACCTTCATATTCAAACTACTATAAAACAAAAATTATCTAGCAACAATGCACTATATGTGAAAGCAGACAAAAATGCCGGCACAGTTATTATTGATAAGGATGAATACAACAAAAAAACAATTAATTACTTGAAAGAAAATGGTTATAAAGAAATTAAATTCAATAATAGCTAAAACTAATGAACATGGACTTCCTATGGGTTTTTCTATTTCCGGCTAATTAGCTGATTTGTATTTAAATAATATTGAAAAGAACATTATTGTTAATTCAAAAAATCCGTTCTTGAAGAATATCATAAAATGGTATGTATACGTCGACAATATTATATGTGTATGGAATGGCAATAAATTCGGTCTTGATGGTATGCTGTCTTATATGAACAACATCCACAGTATCTTAAACCTTGGAGATAGAAAAGGACAAGTGCTTGAATTTCTTAAGCCGACGTTACACGTAGCAGTCGACTGCTATGGCAACTACGGAGGAGCGTTGTTTGACTGTTCCCGTCAAAATTTGCGTGCAAAGCTACTGCGAGGGCTAGAAAATTTTCTACTTTCGGTATAGCAAGTAAATTTGACGATTTACACGCTAATTTGACGATAGCAGTCAAACCACGCCCTCCGTAGTTACTGCCATAGCAATCGATTGCGACGTGTAACGTCGGCTTTAGACTTAAAAATACAAAAGTGACAATAATCTTAAATTTGACATTTTCAGGAAGCTTTTGACAACTACAAATTAGCTGCGTTCCAGGCCTTTATTGTCAGACTATTGAAATATCCTCTAGATTATACATCCAGACTAAAGGCACACTCTTACCACCTCTTGATAAATTTATCAGATAGATAAATTGACGCTTTAGCCAATGAGAGCGTTTAAAACCGCTGTAACCATGGTAATTATCCCTTAGATAGTTTATCAAGAAGATGGTAAAAGTAGACCTAAATGAACTAAAATTTATTTAGATTAGCAACAGGAAATGGTTATCCAAGCTGTACCATCGATAAATTACTGTATAAAAACCTCATAAAACAAGACCCTTTATACCCTACAAATAAAAATAACTCTGACAATTATAAGGAAATAACATACAACAAAATGAATTGCCAAATTAAAACCATATTACAATCCTATGGTGTGTTTGTCAGCTTTAAATGTAACGAATAACTAGGTGATTCTATTTCTAATTACAAACAAAAAGAAAATGCTTTGGATTGTAGTGATATCTACTCGCTGACAGACTTCTAGAGTACAGTGTGTTAATTAATTATCGTATCCGACGTCATCTTTGCAAGTATGCAACCAATATCACAGTATAGGTATTGCAAACGCGATTTGCGATATTGGTTGTATACTTGCAGTGATAACGTCGGGTACGATAATTAATTAACACAGTGTAGATAATACACCAAAAATTAAGATGAATAGTCTTAATATACATCGGGTCGCAAATGCCTCCTTATCGAGATATAGCGGGTCAAAGTTCCTTTAAAATTAAACATAATCTATAATAAAAAGCCCTTTTTTAACAATATTGTCTACGCCATTGCTAATTTTGTCAAACGGGAAGTATTTTCGTGTAAAGTGATCAATTATCTATTAATTGGTCTTTTACAAAACTTTAATCAAAGCAATAGTTTTTAAGAAAAACACGTTTGTAGAAAATTTGTTAATCAAAAACTGTTGCTTTCATCAAAGTTTTGTAATAGACCAACTGATTGATAATTGATCACTTTACAAGAAAATACTGCTTGTTTGGCAAAATTAGCAGTGGCGCTGAAAATATTTTTAAAAAAGGGCTTTTTATTGCAGCTAATGTTTAAGAAAGACTCTTTGACCCGCGATATCTCGTTAAGGAGGCATTTGCGACCCCATGTATATTGAGACTTTCAGCTTAATTTTTGATGTATTACCTGCCCTAGAAGTCTGTTAGTGGTTTTTTGAATCACCCTGTATATACAGGTGTATCAAATGTCTGGAATATAGATAATAACTTCGCCATTTGTAGTTTTAAAGCCAATGTTTCAAATAAAAAATTCTTTATTAATTGTGGTGCATTTTTTGGCGATATTCGCTTGTTTACATTGTTTTTTGTTTCGTTGTTATGGCAACCAACATTGTTATTTTAAATGGGATGCATATGTTTTTTTGCATATTTTGATAGAGGATAAATCCCTCTACGCGATGAACATATCAAATCATATGGTTATATGTATAAGAAGAAAATCGAAAAAAATGCGTTCTTCAAAAATATTAAATTAGCAAATTACAATCAAAGTAGGCGCCGAAATAACGTCGTTGACAGCTTTAAACGTCACAAAATTGACAGTTTAAACAAATATGGCGCAATTAAGCGAGCGACAAAGAATCCAAATATTAATAATGTATGGGTATGGTGCAGGTGATAGAAAACGCACTCAAAGTGAAGTTTGTACACTGTTCAATAATATTTACCCGAATACACAAATTATACAATCCACAGTATCTAAAATATTAAAAAAATTCTTTAACACCAGAAGTGTTAAAAACTTTTCAAAAAAATGGACAGCCAAAGACAGCTACCAATAACGAAACTGCATTAAATGTGTGTCACCGTTCCCATACATTATTAATTATTCATAATTGTTGAAACTGCCATTTTTTTGGCATTTAAAGCTGTCAACCGCGCCTACTTTGATTGTAATTTACTTATTTAATATTTACAGAAAACGTATTTTTCTCGATATTTTTCCTACAGTATGCAAAAAAAATATATGCATCCCATTTAAAATAACAATGTTGGTTGCCATAGCAACGAAACAAAAACAATACAAACAAGCAAATATCGCCAAAAATGCGCCACGATTAATAAAGAAACTTGTATTTGAAACATTTTTCTTTAAAACCGCAAATGGCGAAGTTATTGGCTATATTCCAGACATTTAACACACCCTGTATATTGGTCAGACCGGCCGAAAATTACAAAAAAGATTATGCGAACATAAAACAAGATGTACGTCGAACAACTCCTACACAAATAATGTAATAAAGGTTTGAAAATACAACTACTATTTTTAATATATGTTAATGATATATTCTCTTGTATAACCAATTCACGCTGTTTAATGTATGCTGATGATTTAAAAATTTTCTTGCCGATTCGGACTACAGATGATTGTGTGAAGTTGCAGACTGGCCTTGACAGGCTTGACCAGTTCTGTGTTAGAAATCACCTTATTCTAAATATTGCCAAATGCCATGCAATTTCATTTACTAAAAAACGCGATTACATCAAATATAACTATTGGATTGGTACGAAAGGCCTGCGTCGAGTGACGCACACCATCGATCTTGGTGTAACACTCGACCAGAAGCTGATATTTGACAAACATGTTAACGGAGTGGTAATAAAATGTTACAGAATGTTAGGCTTTATAAAACGATCTACCGAGTATTTCACAAACGCAAGTGCAATTATAAGCATGTATACTGCTTATATTAGCAGTGTCTTAAACTTTGGAAGCATTGTCTGGAATCCACAATATGCGATTTACATCGAACGGTTCGAAAGTTCAAAAATGTTTAATGAAAAATACCTTTGCTACAAAACCAGACGTGAATATGTGGATTATCCCGCAAGCTGTGAGATGTTCGGATTTCTGACTCTCCGTCAACGACGAGCATATAATGACGTACATTTTCTGTTCAGGCTTGTCAGTGGTCTTTCTGATTCACCGTCTTTACTGGCTAGGATCGATTTTCCTGTTCTCCCGCGGCAACTTCTTGTTTTATGCACCTATGCAGCGGACAAATGCTTATCGGAATTCCCCTATTCTCAGAATGGAGTGTACCGCTGATCGCATTAATTGCGATTTATTCGCGTATAATCCAGCTAGTGTCAAGCGCAACATCATGTGTTCAAATAAATAAAAAAAAATAAATAAAATGAACTTTCTTGAAATGTTCGAAATTGATAAATTTAAGCATGATAATAACTATCTTATTTTAAATGATCAAATTGAAAACTATTATAAATCACTTTACGCCCTTTCGAAAAAAAAAAAAAATGTTTTCCTCTAAAAATATCTTACTGTGATATTTTTATTCCATTTTAGTAACCCGTTTTGACTTCTGTTCAAAATTCTGTTCAAAGTCGATTTTACAGTCGTATTTAGTGTTCAATTGTCTCTTGTTTAAGAAAGTTATACTTATAAAAGTTATACAGGCTGTCTCAGCGAGACCGATCATTAGACGTTTCTGGGGTTCTGGCGAAAATAAAAATTTGACAATTCAAACTTAAGTATTATCAATTACGATCTCTTCGACTAAAATATTTTCAGATTTCTTGCACTTCCGGTTATACCGGAAGCCGCCACCTACTTTATTTTTTTAAATGGAACACCCTGTATATTGTTTTCATGTTTTCAAGGTTTATAAATAAGTTTACTTTTTGCAATTTGATTCGGCCGTTCTCGAGTTATTCGAATTTTTCTAGAAAAATGTGCTCCAGCAGACATTTGTTAAAAAAATCAGAGAACACTCGATTTTTGGGATATCAATTTAAGATTCAGAACATGCTTAAGCAACATGATGGAGTATGTTTTGGTGCCGAGAACGGCTGTCTAGAACATTTGGTTACTTTACTATGGCACGTTAACTTTTCGAAATTTGGAAGTACCATAACTTCATTTTTTTAAATGGCACCCCCCATATTTTATTACTTAGTCGTCTTCGGTGTCTCATTCTACATCTTTTATATCCCATATGTCCCATACCTAACATTAATAGTTTGGAAGATAATTAGGGTTTTTTGAAAAATGCACACAAATCTTATGGATATTTAGCCTAGTGTGCCATGAAAAACAAGCCTTCTCAATGAGTTCTTGTCAAAGACTCACTTGTTTACGTCACTTGATGCATGTGAGCTAATAATTATTTGTTAGGTCCCTTAATATTAGTACTGAAAAGAGTTAAAATCGATAACAATAACAAAAGTAATATTTACAACAAATCAAGAAATTCTTAATTTATTTTTTATGCATGAAAAGCGCGACAAAGTTAGTAGTATGATTCCCAGATCTTCTTTGGCAGCTCGAATTGAGGTGTTGGGACAGGGCTCGAAATAAGCCAAGGTATTCACCTCTTCCGTTGCATTATCTACTACATTTTTTGGTCAGTTTAACACGTGATTAATTCGTCCAAAATGTAAACAATTTGCTTCTATTCTTCTAAATTTACCTTTTGTCATCGGAGGTAAATGTGGATAACTTTCATTAAACATTTTGCAAGTTCTACTAAGAACTTTGTCGCACTTTTTGTGCACAAAAAATAAATTATAGATTTCTTCATTTGTATAAACAATATTTACGTTATTAATATCCATTTTAACTGGTTTTAGACTCACAAGCATCAAATAACGTAAATCAGACTTTGACGTTTGTCAATAAGTCATTAAACATTTGTTTTCCATGACACACTAGGTTAATATCGATATGATATGTAAGCATTTTTCAAAAAACCTTTATAATAATTATAATATTAATTATTTCTCAAACTATTAATGTTAGGCATAGGACATATGGAGTATAAAAGATATAAAATGAGACGCCGAAGACGACTAAGTAATAAAATATGGGGGGTGCCATTTAAAAAAATTAAGTTATGGTGCTTCCAAATTTCGAAAAGTTAACGTGTCATAGTAAAGTGAACAAACGATCTAGACAGCCGTTCTCGGCACCAAAACATACTCCATAATGTTGTTTAAACATGTTCTGAATCCTAAATTGATATCTCAAAAAACCAGTGTTCTATGATTTTTTGAACAAATGTCCGCTGGAGCAGATTTTTCTAGAAAAATTCGAATAAGCAAAAAGTAAAGTTATTTATAAACCTTCAAAACAGACAAATCCAAATATGTAAAAATATACAGGGTGTTCCATTTAAAAAAATAAAGTAAGTGACGACTTCCGGTATAACCAGAAGTGCTAGAAATCTGAAAATATTTTAGACGATGAGAACGTAATTGATAATACTTAAGTCTGAGTTCTCAAATTTTTATTTTGCCAGAACCCCAGAAACGTCTAATGACCGGTCTCGCTGAGACACCTGTATATGGTGTTTCTTTTTGAAAAATGTTTTATAGTAACTTAGAATTTTGTTTGTTCAGTGTAATGTTTTGACTATATGACTGTAAGTTAAGATATTTAAGCAGTTTTATTATTTTTAAGATTATAATTATTATATTGTTTTGTAGATTTGGCTGATGATGACATCTTAGTATGTCGAACCTAGTTCGAAGTAAATAAAGTTGATTATTAAAAAACTTTAGAGGTTAAAAGGTCTATTTTGTACTACTTATCTCCTAACTTTAATTATACCTGTAATACTATGGATCTTTTAAAATAGAAATGATTTTAGTTCTAGGTATAGTGTTAGTTCTAGTTTTAATTCAATAAAAACTATACAACAATCTAGCACTGTTTAATAATTAAAACTATAATTAACACTAATATTAGAAGTAACACTACACCCAGAACTAGAAACAAGGTTTTCCTATCTTAAGAGAGGTCTAATGTTAGTTCTAGTTTTAGTTTAAATAAAATTAATTTTACAACTTACAACAACAGGAAGGGCAACCATAAACACTAAAGCATATAATCCCAAAACCCACACACTATTTTCTTTCTCAACAATCCATGAAGGTAAAGCTATTCCAAAACTCATTGCACCTGGACCATCAGGATTACCATATTTTTCCCAATTTTTTCGTGCCTCGTCATCCGTAAGGGCTTGATATGCTTTTGTAAGTTTCATAAATTCCTTTTCATTACCCGTTTCTTTATCAGGATGTAAAATTACGGAGAGTTTCCGATAGGCTTTTTTAATTTCCCCTTGACTAGACCCCAATGGGACACCAAGAATTTCGTAAGGATCAAAATTCGCCATTTCATAATCAAATTGAGACACTCTATAAGCAAGTAAAAGGAATAAAACCCAACCTAACACGATTATAAATTTAACAAAAAAGTTCTTTGGACCGCGCCATGGTTCCGCTTCTTTTAGATGTTTTCGTTTTGTGGTACAACCTTCGCAATGACATTCTTTATTCTCTTTTTCTGGATCTGTTAATAATTTATGGTTGTATAAATATTATTTTGGGATTTATCAATGAAAAATGATCTTACCTTCCTTCTTTTTTCTTGGCCAGTAATAAAATGTAGCGGGTAACAAAATAAGGGCTAAAAACGAAAGAAGGAAATAGAAGAACGTTCCTCCACTCTCATCGTATTGGAATTTTTGCCCTCCCATTATAACTTTACTTCGAGATCTTCATGAACGAGACATACGTGTCAAAAAACGGAACAGCTAAGAACCTAACCTCAAATCGGTTTTCATTCCGCGATTTTGACATTCATAGATATCATAATGTTGTATCTTACACAATCGAGAATACATTGATCCTAAAATATATTTTGAAAAATTCGATATCATGGATAATTTTTTAAAACGCATTAATTTTCGTCAATTAAACTATTATTTAATATTTTTGAATGTTAAATAATTATACTTAAAAAAGAACTTAATTAATATTCCTTTATACATTTTTAGAAGAAAAAGAAAGATATTTCTTTTGGAATCAATTGATTGGTGTCCAATTTCATTAAATGATTGTTACGTCTATTTAATATACTGTTATTTTTTAATCCTCATGCACATGTTGTGTATGTGGATTGACGATTACGTGGATAAGTTTAATAAGTTCATTAACGTTATCGACAAATATTTCCTAAATACTATTTCTGCTTTAAAATTATTGCATAAGTATGATAAAAAAAAGTATAATACAAAACGTTAATTTTTTTTTAATTTAAGCATATTTTTAAGGACATCTTCATTAGGAAGCTTAGGAAGTTAACAAGTTTCAAAAAAAGAATAATCCTAACATCCCTTTCATGAAATAATTTTCAAAAGTAAACAATTCAATAAATTTAAGAACCATAACCTCAATTCAAATTATACTTTAAATCAGCGCACAAAAGCGAATTAGTTAAAAATCTTTGGCCAAAAAGATATATTTGTCAATTTTTTACTTCAAAATTGGTGGAAATTAAAAAATATCTATACAATTAACAAGGATTAAGTATTTTTTGTAATTCGCGACGGTAACGGAAGCTCTAACAGTACTCAAACGGGTGCTGTAATGAGACTCCTTACAGCATCCAATGCTGTAATGAAATTTTAGTAACATTTTATGGAACCAGTTCAAGTTGGTGACATTGGGTCATTAATTTTCCTAGTTGTCAATGTAACAATTTTTATCTATGGATGTTTAAACACGTTCTAAGCATCGAATACAAGGTCCACAATGATGAGGACATTGAACTCTGAGCAATTTCTCTTATTTTGGGAGGTGTACATGAAACATTTTTGTCAGGTGAATACATTTTGTGTTTTGACAGTTTCTAATTGTCAATTCAAATTTCTATTTTCAAGTGTTACGGTGTTACCAACTGCTGCATACCTATTTCCCTACATTGTCAAAATTTATTTTATTTTTGTTAAAAAAAAAGGATAATATCTGAAAATAACATTCAATTTAAATTTCGCATAAAATTGTTCAGTGTATAGACTTACATTTATACCAGTGCATAGTAATATGCAGGTTCTAAGGTGATTCACCCCAGCGCACG